AAACAGGCAACTACAAATGGGAGAAAATTTTGCAATCTAACTCATCTGACCAAAGGGCTAATATTCCAGACCCCTATAAAGAACTCAATTTTTTCAAATATCTAAAGAGAAAAAACAAACAAACCCATCAAAAAGTGGCAAAGATGTGAACAAGATACTTCTCAAAAGAAGATATTTATGCAGGCAACTGACAATGAAAAAAATGTCATCATTCACTCGGCCCATCAGAGAAACGTGCAAATCAAAACCACAATGGGATACCACCTCACACCAATTGAGTCGTGATCATTAAAAAAGTCAGGAAAACAAAGGGTGCTGGAGAGGATGTGGGAAATAGAATAGGAACATTTTTACACTGTTGGTGGGACTGTAACTAGTTTAACCATTGTGGAAAGACAGTGTGGCAGTTCCTCAAGGATCTAGAACTAGGAAATACCATTTGACCCAGGTCATCCCATTAGTGGGCATATACCCATAGGTTATAAATCATGCTGCTATTAAAGAACATGCATACGTATGTTTATTGCAGCACTATTCACAATAGCCAAGACTTGGAACCAACCCAAATGTCCATCAATGATAGACTGGATTAAGAAAATGTGTGCACAAATTAATACACCATGGAATACTATGCAGCCATGAAAAAGGATGAGTTCATGTCCTTTGTAGGGACATGGATGAAGCTGGAGACCATCATTCTCAGCAAACTGTTGCAAGGACGAAAAACCAAACACCGCATGTTCTCACTCATAGGTGGGAACTGAACAATGAGAACACTTGGACACAAGAAGGGGAACATCACACACAGATCACTTTAGAGATCTGTCTGTTTGTGAAACCTGAGGAATGAAGGAAGAAGGCACAGTCAGTACATTTATTTCCAAAAAGAATTTGGGCTGGGGCGGGAGTGTGCTATGCAAATCTTACTTTTGCAAAAAAGTTTTATAATGGAATGCCTTCCAGGTTCAAGCGATTCTCCTGTCTCAGCTTCCCGAGCAGCTGGGACTACAGGCGTGTGCCACCACAGGCACGCGCCACCACGCCCAGCTAATTTTTGTAGTTTTAGTAGAGATGGGGTTTCACCATATTGGTCAGGCTGGTCTTGAACTCCTGACCTCATGGTCCACCTGCATTGTGATCAAGGCCTTTGCAGTCCTCCCAAAATGCTGGGATTACAGGCGTGAGCCACTGTGCCTGGCCATCTTCTTTCCTTTTTACAATCAGGGTAGTTGAAATGAAGCACAAATTGGCTTGCCATTCAAACTTGAAGTGAAATTCAGCCATCCATTCACTCATTCAGTTAGCACATGATTTTTGAAAATTTGCCACTCCCATGTACCATCCTAGGACGTGGGGGTACAGAAGTCTACAAACTGGACACAGACTGCCTCATGGAACTCACATAAAGGTCACAAATTGTGAGGATCTTCTTTCTCTGTAGAGGTTGGAATCCTTCCCTTGGAAGCCCAGACTTTGTATTTTTCATCAGTTTCTGTTTCTTGTGCTCCCTGCTTCTGCATAATGACCGCATCATGAGAGAACAGCGTGTTAGACTGATAAGAGACCCCAGAGATCACTTCATTTAGTGGCCTCATCTTACAAAGAAACTCAGAGAGTTAACCCGGCTTGCAGGTCCAGTGTCCTACATTCTTTCCAAAGTATTAGCATAAAAAATTTTTAAACACACACAAAATTGAAAGAATTTTGAGTAAACACCACGCCCATATACCCAACACTAAGATTCTAACATTACTTTAAAAAAAAAAAGTGTTGGCCAGATGCGGTGGCTCACTCCTGTAATCCCAGCACTTTGGGAGGCTGAAGGGGGCAGATCACTTGAGGTCAAGAGTTTGAAACCAGCCTGGCCACCATGGTGAAACCCCGTCTCTACTAAAAATACAAAAATTAGCCAGATGTGGTGGTGTGCGCCTGTTGTCTCAGTTACTCAGGAGGCTGGGGCAAGAGAATCGCTTGAACTCAGGAGCCAGAGGTTGCAGGAAGCTGAGATCGTGCTACTGCACTCCAGCCTGGGAGATAGAGGGAGACTGCATCTAAAAAAAAAAAAAAAAAGTGTGTAGGTATCTGTATGTGGTGTATGTTTGTGAGTGTGTGTGTGTGTGTATTGAATAGACATGGCAGGGCAAGGGAGGAGAGGAGAAAAGATAGAACCAGGGTGGGCTGCTTAAATATCTGCACAGGAGAGTCAATCATGCATTTCTCTTCCCTTTCCAATTCCATCTTCAGTGACAGAGCATTTGTAGCTTGAAATCAGCTGTGATAGAAACACTAAACCTCCAAAATCAGCAAACGCTACAAATCAGGGCATTTTCTTTTTCTGGGAAGCCAGTTTACCTGCACACCATGGGATGAAACCAGAAGTTTGAATTTGGGTAACGGTTCACTGACTACAGATTTTGAAGAAGATACCGAGTTTGACTTGGGACCTGTTTGAAATAACAACTGGAAACAGTCTGACAACGTGGCAAATTCCATTAATAAATACCATTCACTCTTCTTTCAGTCGAGACTATAAAAATGTTTTTCAATGAACATTGCCTCCGAGTTTAAACAAAAATATGAAATCCTTCTGAAGACACATGTTTTTCATTAGATGTATAATTTCACTGGAGAAACCCTGAAAATACGATTTTTAAAGTAGATGCATTTTAATAACGGCAAGGTTTCTTATGGGCCAAAGAGTAGCTAAGTCACATAAGAAAATAACAGATCAATTGAGAATTCACATAAATGTGAGCTCCCATATTGGGGAGATTTAGGAAGAATTGTGCGGCATCGTGCTGCACAGAAATCAGAGTGAAGCTGTGGGATTTCACTAATCTCATCTCTGACTTGAACTCCTAAATTGAGAGGCAGTCTTTTCTATCCTTTTGGAGATATTCCCTTAAAAACTGAAACAATTTAACTATTCAGCAGAGATTTGTGAAATAAATTATGAAGGATCCTCAGTATACTGAGTACAGTACGTAGAGTGGCGTTTAGGGTGGAAAGGTGCGAAGGACCTACTCGGTGAAAATATGTGTTACGAAGCAGTATTATTGCTGCATGATTCAAATTTTGTGGCCAAAATATACCATGTCTCTGCGTAAAAAAGCCGAAGGGGTAGAATGAGTAACAGCTTTTATGTTTGTTGTGCTTACTGGTTGCTGTCTATTTTCTGTTGTTGTGTAATGATTTTTGCTGCAGAATTACTGGTGCTAAGAAAAATGTCTTAATAAAATAAGAAAAGATGCATGACGATCACTCTTAACTAAGTGAAATATCATAAGTAACTTGACAATTTTCCATTCGTACAGGGTGTCCCTGGGGCAAAGGGGGAACGAGGAGAGCGGGTAAGTATCCTGTGGCTCTGTTTTCTGGCCCCAGCTGATTGCACCCCTTCCATTGCATAAGCCTGATAAAGGATCGTCACTTACTAACATTATTATTCATTGCTATTGTACCAGTCCCTGTTTCTCCCTTTCCCCAATTCATTAGACTGTGGCCATGTTTTCCAGAGGTAAAATCCCTGTGGGCTGGGAGTCAGGAGAGCTAGTTTCTAGTTGCATATCTGCTACCATCCAGGTCAATGAACTTGGGCTCATTTCTTTAAGGATAAAATGGAAAGAATCGCTCTCATATAATTTACAAAGTGGATTTGATGAGAACATTGTATAATAGATGTGAAAAGGCTTCAGAAAAGTAAAAACTTTATACAAGTGACAAGTGGCAGCATGGCACTCCTGAGCTTTCTGATGCTCCAGCGTTCACACCCAGGAAGACAATGGCAGGCATAGAATCAAAGAACTGGCCCCAAAACTGAAGTCAGCTTGATTTAGGGGTTGTCTCTCTCCTTCCAGAAATTGTGCAGCTGCTAATATAATTGTGCCATTGGCTATAGCAGAAACAGCAGTGGCCTTGGGCTCATCCAATTACCTCTGTGAAATCTTGGGCCGTGTGTTTAATGCTATTCAGCTATAAAACGGGTTTAACACCTTTCCTCTGGGTTGCTATTAGTATTAAATGAGCCACTGCTCAAGAAAGTGCAGTATTTTATAAGCTCTAAAGAGCTATAAATCAGGTATTAAATATATATATGGGTTTGTTTCAAAACTATTAAATTTTTTAGAATATGGGACTAGAAATACTTATTTGTGCTTGTTAATCTAATAAGGACTCCCAGGATCCTTGAACCATGAATATCAAATTGCTTACCCCTTCTCTGCATGCACTGTGGTGGTCAAACCCACCCATTGCTAGGAGCCAAAGATCCCTGATGGGAACAATGGGGCAAGTCAGATCCACATCCTGGAAGTCCTGGTAATGTGGCTGGGCTTACAGCTGAGTCAGGAGTATGCTTTTTTTTCATCCAGGGTGACCTGCAGTCTCAAGCCATGGTGAGATCAGTGGCACGTCAAGTATGCGAACAGCTCATCCAGAGTAAGTATATAATGGTTACGGAAGTTGTTCCCCTTAACAAACTCTCATCCAGAAGAGTTTGCTTTTCCCGTGAGCGTACCACTAAGGAAAACTCCAAAGCATTGTCTTGGTGCAGACACATAAGCTTTACAGATGACCATCACTGACCCATCAAAGAGATCATCACAGATTACCCTAGAGCTCTACATCGATGGTACAAAAGCCAAATTCCTTTGTGTCATCGGTCCAAGAACCGCCTGTTTGCCCATGTAAATTTAACTTGACTGCCCAGATCAAATCTTCTATTCCTTTCTCGTCTCTCCAGGTGGGTAGGATTTTTTTCTCAAGTGTTCAGCACTTGAAAGCTGCCAGACTACATCTTCAGAAGCTACCTCAGAAAGACAATTTATGGTGTTGATTTTTATTAACTTGCAAGGTTTAAATGAATATTTCCTTCTTATCCATTTCACATCCATTATCTTCTGGTTAGCCTAAGGTCTTCTCATTTATCTCTTAGGATGTTTACCAAAGTACAAACACACACACGGACAGGCTTGCTCTGACGTTTGACATGATACTATATTTGGACTTTGTGCCAAAAATTACATCAGAACAAACTTGATATGATGCCTGTCCCATTTCTTCATTTTTCTTGAGCTTTTTGATAGCACTGTGTTTCAGTGCCCATTTGCTTAGATACCCACCACTTTTGCACGTTTCCCCTCTGCCCACTGATTATATATTTTATCACAGTAATCTAATCAAAGGGTTACTAGCATAGGCCCTTCTCTTTGCCGTAATTTGTTCAGTTCCAGGAATATCTGAGGCCAAGCAGAGGTGAACTATCTCTCTCAACCCCACCCAGCTCTCGCCTAGGTCTGCTGTCCAGCCCTCCCACCCAATAGCACCCCGGCTTCCAGGGCTGACATTCCCCAGGTGGCTAATTGGCTTGGGGTTACATTCATTTTAACTCAGGAAAGTTTGGGAGTTGGGCCAGGAAGCCCTGCAAATATCTAAGAAAGCTCTGTTGGCTAAGTTCAAAATTCCATCTTTAGTTCTGAGATAAATCCAAATCTCACCCTGGAGGAGGCATGGAGTTGAGATCTGCATAGGCTTGGAAGAGTTTTCATTAGGGCAAAAACATCAGGGCACCAGTGTATGAAGCTACCTACTTCAGACACAGTAGTCATGCTCCCTATATTTTAACGTTATTTAATTTTCTCTTATATTGCCCAAACGATGTGTGTGTCTGTGAGAGAGAATTTACCAGTTAAATATAACTGTTTAAGTTTAATGCCAAAATAGGATCTTTAAAAAGACATTATAAAAGAGAAATTGAACATTAATCATTTTATACTGACATATTGTAAATAACCTGTATCTTGAATTGTTTTGTAGATTTCTGATTTGTGTACATTGTAAATGAGCAGATCATTATTTTCAGAAAACTTAAGGCGTAAATCTTACTATGACTCACTGACCACAACACAAGAAAGATCTCACGATACTTGCTGTCTTATTCTACTGTAGAATAAAAATCATGTGTAAATATCTGGTTATTTAAAGCGTGCCCTAAAAATCAAGGGTTCAAAATCAATTTTTTCTCCTTACAAATTCTCAGAGTCTTGTGACTGACTTCTAGGAAGTAGAAGTCAGCAAGGGATTGGTTACATAGCAAAACTTATACAAGTCCATAAAATAGCAAAGCCCTGCCTGTCAATATATTAGAAGGAAATCAAAAAAGTTGCATGCAACTTGATAAGCCAGGCCCAACCTACTCAGTGGCTGTATTTCTGGCACCTCAACGATCTTCCCTAACACTACTTCAGTTTCCTCTGGGCTCCTTACTGTATTCCTTCAGCTGCCACTCAGAACTGGATTTTTCGGTTAGCAAATAATTCCTCACAAGCTCACTTCTCTAGTTTTTAAGTTCACAGTTGATCAGAATTATGCTGGGAAGAGTTACATGGGAAATTATTCAAGGCCAAAGTGATGACAGCTGGGAAAATGATAATGGACAGACCCTGTGTCAAAGGCAGAAGCTGAAAAAGCAAATGAGGAAATATCTCACCTGCCCAGGCAGCAATGGATGTGCCTGCTAATAGCCTTGAGTCATCAGGAGGGGATCCCTAGTTACAGTGACAATCCAATGCTTAAGGAAAGAATGCACTGAATGTATTTTAGAGTGAATTCCTTGAAGAAATGGTTACTATTTTTTATTTAGTTTTAAATATTTCAAAATGGATAAATAATAGTAAACTAGAAAATTCACTTATGTTGGGAAATCTCATCTCCTAATGATGTTGGAAAAATGAGACATCATGATATCAAGTACTTTATACTTGTAATTAGTAACATATATCTGTATATATATTTTCCAGACATAACTGAGTTAAGCGATTGTGGGAGAGAGTGCCAGATCTTTTAAAAATATAAAGCTAGTGGGAGTTTCTGCCAATGAGACCCAAGTAAAGGTTCCTAAAAAAAAGCTTGATGACCAAGAGATGAGTTGAGACAGAGCACTTGTCTGGGGATTTGTGAGCAAGAGGGTGGGGAGGCTTTGTGCATTGTAGAAAAGACAAATAACTTGGGGAGTAATTGCTAGAGAAATGGCAGCTGGGTGAGGGTCTAGGGGTCAGATAAATGTTGAGGGTGAAAATGAAATTTACAACTTCTGCTCAATGATGTTTATTGAGATGCTGACATGAGCTGCAGAATTCCAAACACATGAGATGCGACTTGACAACAGTCCAACCCTTAATATCATCCAGAGTAAAACATAAAAAATGTTAAGCTGGAAATCAACGTATTTCAAAGGGGTGTGATTTTTCCCTTGGTGGGTATCTAACAGAATTGTTTGGAGCCTTAACGAATGACACCCCCGTCTCTTTCCTTGTGTGACAGTTCACTGAATGCTGTCTTTATGCTTCGTGCCTCAGGTCACATGGCCAGGTACACTGCCATCCTCAACCAGATTCCCAGCCACTCCTCATCCATCCGGACTGTCCAAGGGCCTCCTGGGGAGCCTGGGAGACCAGGCTCACCTGGAGCCCCTGGTGAACAAGGACCCCCAGGCACACCAGGCTTCCCCGGAAATGCAGGCGTGCCAGGGACCCCAGGAGAACGAGGTAAGCTGGGCCCCTTCTCTCAGAGGAACTCCTCTGAGCTGGGTGCAGGGAAGCAGAACATTCTAGTGGTGTTTATACAAGGAGAAAGTCTGAAATAATTGACTTAAATTAATTCTGCCCCATCTATTCTGCAGTTTCTTGTTTATTTATCTCTGAGACTGAGAAAATTGAGCAATCTGCCAAGTGTTTATCAAGAGCCATATCTACTTACATGAAAGAGGAAGGTCAGAACCCCCAAATCACCTCCGAGAGGATTTGAGCTAATGAAAGAAAGATATCCCCTCTAGATGGATGAAGTCAAAAAGAGTGCCCCTTCCAAGTTGAAGAATTAGAAAATGATGCCGCCCTCTGACCAAACATGGCGTCACACCAATGTCAAGGCAGAGAACTCACTCTGGTGGTTTGCTGGTGCTTTATTTGTGCAGTGCCCAGACTGGGCAACAGTCAGCGGCAGTCCTGAGAAGAGTCATGAATTGTATCAGCATATGGTTCACATGTTCCTATATAGACTGTGTCAGCTCTAAACCTCGAATTAAAATAGTGTCTGTGGCTCATCTTCCCATTATATCAGACAACATTTTATTTAGTAGTTTCATGGGCCAATGTTTTGTCCTTCCCACTAAAGTTTCCTTAAAATGGAGATTCTACCTTAGCCTTTTCTTCCACCATCTACAGGTCTTAGAAGTATTGTGTAATACAATAATAAAACTTTTGACTGAATCTATAGTTGACTAAGATCTTCCATTCCAGAAGCAGGTAAAGGAGATGTGGGAAGTCATGGTTGCGTATCAACCATGAAGAAAGTGATGGGAAAGAGAGACAACCAATCAGAGTATTTTCTAAGATACATTTTGTAGAACATAGACCTGGGGAAAAACTAACTTTTACCTGTCTGCTGTGTGAGCCTTATTAGTTTTGTGGGATGGGTAGGATATATTCCTTTTATAAAATTTGATTTAAAATACAGATTACAAAAACAGTATTTCATATTTATTTTGACTCATGCCAACAGGCCTTGTGTATTTCTGCCTCTGCACTTTTGTACACATTGTTTTCCCTCTTTGGAAATGTCCTTTCCTTCCTTTGTCTTCCATACATCTTACTCTTAGTTCAAGACTCAGCTGTCTTATGCATGAAATTGTTATTTATCACCCCAGAACCCAAATATCTCCGCCCCCGTGAACACCTGATGCCCTACTGTCTTTTCTTTCTGTTTTAGCACTCATCAGGCAATTAGCGAACAGCCAGGTTGTTGAGAGCAGGTGTTGGTTCTGAATTGCTTTGCACAATGCTTTGCACTTAATAGGTACTTACTAGATAGTTGTTGCTTTAATTGTGACCCAGTTCTGATTTTTCTTTCTGAAAGTTTTCCCCTGTGTCTGAGCACAAAATCAGCAGACGTAGAAAATGGCATCATTCCCTCACAACTCAGCAAAGACCTGGCAGCCTGGAATGTGGCCCCCTCTGTCAGCAGGGCATCCTCTGATGCTGTCAATAATGGAGAAACTGTGACTCAGTGAGCACAGAGCCAGCACCTGAGTCACTCCCAGCAAGTCATAAGTTGTCTTTGTTCTTTTTGGAAGTCTTAGTCCCGTTCTTGCCAGACCGAATCTCTCCTGCTCTGCAAGTGCACTTGAATGATTAGACCACAAAAAAATCACCCAAGCGTTCTCAAAGGGCAGCCCAGACGACCTTTGGAAATATGAATTTCCATGATGTAATTTTCTTACATACATATTGATGTATATTCTAAAGAGTACAGTAGACAAGCAGAATCCTGTATTTCACAAATGCATAAAAGATGACAGTAAGACAGAAAGTGAGACATGCCCTTTGAGCATGGGGGAAACGTGATTTTAGTTGATCACCACTTGAAGGGTGTGATTTTGCGATGACTATTATAGGTCAGGGCTTATAGGCCAGCATCCAAGGGGCTCTTCGTTCCCGGCAAAGTTATTTCAGCTGCAGCTGGGGTTCGCTGCTGCAAGGTAGGCAGTGATGTTTGGTTCTTAGCCTTGGGATCCAAATATCCAGGAAAGATTAAGAGAGGAAAGGTCTGTCTTTCCACTAAGTCAAAACAATAAAATTTAAAAACTGAAGTCTTCAGCTATCTTTTCTCTTTCTCATTTTCTATGAAAGGAAGCATATGAAGATATTGAGGTAAGGCCAAAAAGGCTCAAAGTCAGCCAACATCCAGACTTGAAATAAGAGCCAGAGACTGTGTTTTTTTTTTTTTCTGCCGTATAAAATATGATTATCATCATTTTTGATAAAATAATGTTATAAGGACACAATATTGTAACGAGTAAAAATAAGTACTGTTACCAGGCAGTGTATGTAGCACATAATAAACTACACAAGCAAGATTATGAGAAATATGGCTGTTGAGCATTCTGGCATGAACTTTGAAATGAGGCTCACTTTCTGCTTAGGCTTCCTATGAGCCTCATAGGAGTCTTCCTAAAAAAATTCACTACTGGGTCTCTACCCAGGGGAAAAGAAGTCATTATACCAAAAAGATATTTGCATATGCATGTTTATAGCGGCACAATTCACAAGTGCAAAAATGTGGAACCAGCCCAAATGCCCATTAATCAACAAGTGGATAAAGAAACTGTGGTGTATATATATATGTGATGGAATACTACTCAGCCATAAAAAGGAGTGAATTAATGACATTTGCAGTAACCTGGATGAGACTAGTATTCTCAGTGAAGTGACTCAGGAATGGAAAACCAGACATCATATGTTCTCACTCATCAGTGGGAGCTAAGCTATGAGGATGCAAAGACATAAGAATGATACAATGGGCTTTGGAGTCTTAGAGGGAAAGGTGGGCAGGGGATGAGGGATGAAAGACTACAAGTAGGGTATAGTGTATACTGCTCGGGTGATAGATGCACCAAAGTCTCACAAATCACCACTAAAGAACTTATGTAACCAAACACCACCTGTTCCCCAATAACCTATGGAAATAAAAAAAAAGGTTTTTGTAAATTCACAGCTCCATTCAGTTTGGATAATTTTTCATCAGAAGTGCCTGCTCTAACTTTTCTATTCTAGTTTTTCAAACTTTTAAAAATGTGATACACAGAGGCCGGATTCGGTGTCTCACGCCTGTAATCCCAGCACTTTGGGAGGCCGAGGTGGGCGAATCACAAGGTCAGGAGATCGAGACCATCCTGGCTAACATGGTGAAATCCCGTCTCTACTAAAAAATACAAAAATTTAGCCGGGCGTAGTGGCGGGCGCCTGTAGTCGCAGCTACTCGAGAGGCTGTGGCAGGAGAATGGCATGAACCCGGAAGGCGGAGCTTGCAGTGAGCTGAGAACACACCACTGCACCTCAGCCTGGGCGACAGAGCGAGACTCCGTCTCAAAAAAAAAAAAATGTGATACACAGTAAAAAATACATTTGGCATCATGATGCAATATTGCTTATGCATATGCATACATGCAAATGTATATAACTGGGACAAAAGAAATTATTTTTACCCTTCCTGTTATTCCCTGTTTTCTTCTTTTGTTAAAAGAATGAGGAGAGACCTTGGGTTTCATTCCCTTAGTGTGAAAAACGCTATCCCCGTACAATGTCTTTGATTAACCCCATCTTTATCAGAGAAATGGCAAAGAATATGCATTTTTAGAGAGCAGAAGAAAAATTATGGATTTTCCTTTCATATTCGCAATGTGATGTACATGGGTTTTCGTGACTTTTCTTATTATCTAAAAGAAGATTGCACTTTTGCTCCATCTGATTGTCTGTCTCTCTCTTTATTAACCCTTTGTCTCCTTTAACTTAAACTCCTTTTTGTAAGTTTGTGTGGAAGAGTTTTTAGCTATCCTCTTACACAGATTGTAATAGAGAATTCTTAGAATTTAAGGATTCAAAGGGATGTTCTGGCTAACGTTGTTCAGGTTTTCTATCTGAAGCTCGAAATCCCACTTAGATTTGTCTAATTATTGGCACCTAGCATTGAAAAGGCCTCATTTGCATAACATCATGCTTTATATTAAGCAGCCCAATTTCTCACCTGTTTTTCCTTGTCACTTGTTCTTCTCTGTTAATTTATGTCAAAGAAAAGCTATTTTTCCATGGGATGCTCGTTGGTTACCTCTCCCCATTAAACCCTGTACTATCGTCATGTAAATGGTTCTGTATAACCTGGCTCCTCGTTATCCCAAAATTCAGAAGAGAGGACCAGTTCTGAGGTTCCTCTTTTGATCACTGAACCATGGCAATCCAGTGCTTGACTGGACAATCCAGTGGTTGACTACTATGTGTCAATCGCTGTTCTGACCTCAACTTACTCTCCAGTCACAGTTTTGGGTGATTCCAAACCAGATTTCCTCAATTACAGATCGTTTTCTATTTCTGCTCTGTGCATATCATTCCCAGATGATTCATCTGTTTTTGTTTAGTCAATTTATTTAAATGTTCATTCTCTACACTGGTATCTTGAGCCATATATTAAACAAGTCAACAATAAGTTTGTTGGTTTATAGTTCACAAAATTAAGTTTCTTTATTTACTTGAAAAGAACTAGAAAATTACCCTGATTTCAGTCTTTTTTTTTTTTTTTCCTTTCTTGGAGACAGGGTCTTGCTCTGTCCCCTAGACTGGATCGCAGAGGTGTGATCTCGGATCTTGGCTCACTGCAACCTCTGCCCCCTGGGTTCAAGCAATTCTCCTGCCTCAGCTTCCCAGGTAGCTCGGACTACAGGCAGGCACCACCACGCCCGGTTGATTTTTGTATTTTTAGTAGAGACAGGGTTTCAGCATGTAGGCCAGGCTAGTCTTGAACTCCTAACCTCAACTGCCCCCACCCCCTGCCCCGCCTTGGCCTCCCAAAGTGCCGGGATTACAGGTGTGATCCAGCGTGCCCAGCCTGATTTCAGTCTTTATGCAACTCCTTTAGTTTCCATAATCCCTCCAAAATTTTTGAATCAGAGAAACCATCTAATCATCTATCTAACCTAACCATCTAAAGATTTTCATTT